TATAGAAATTGATGACATATTACTTCTTATTGGCATTTTTTTCTACTTAGAACATAAATTATTGAGGTGTGTCAAAACTGGTGGAATCTTAGATTCCTTGAAATTCAGTGTTCTTTCTACAGATACGTCGTAGGTTAACCAGGTCCCAACTGAAGGGCATTTAAAGCTCTCTGCTCCTCACCCTCCACCCCCTACCATCTTAATCAGTACTGTCAGGAACTCCACACTCTGCTGAGGGTATTACACCATTCCTGAGGCCACACTGCTGAGAGTGGAGTGGCTAATTCCAGTTCACTGTATGTAGCCCAGCCCTGACTCTGAACTCCTGGCTGTGAACATCAGTTTCCTTGATTAATATGGGCTGATTTTTCTGTAATCTTTCCTAATATGACAATTGAAAAATAGCATATAATTTGCCCCTTTTTTTAACAGGTGAATGTTTTCTCATACTGATTGTGCATTACTACATATTTTTTGAGTTGCCCACTCAGATTCCATTTCTTTTTTTTAAGTTTTGACTTTTTTCAGATTGATCTGTATGAGTTCTTTATTGAGGAAACTATTTTGGCGTATGTTGTAAATATTTTCATCTAGTTTGTGTGAGTATTGCAGAGTTTTAATTTATTGGAAATTTGCTTTGGTGTATAAGCTGTGATGTAAAGATTTAATCATTTCTATCAGCCAACAGAATGAATTGGTTTTTTCTTTTTTAAGGGGGACAAAGAGGCCTTTTTGATCTTTTATCTGTGTGGGTTCACCTGTCAGCTCATGAGAGTGGATAATGTGGACATCCATGGGTCCTGCAGGCTAGGAAGAGAGAAATGGACCTCCTTTGGAGAGCTCCAGTAGTGCTGTGGGTACAGGTGACACCTGCATCTGGTGACAGCAAAGGACAGAATCAGTGGAGAAAAAACAAGAGGCAAATGGGGAGTGACTATAATAGGAGGTGTCTAGCTTGCATCTCTCGCTGGCTTGCATGTCTCTCTGGCTTCTATCTCTCTCTGACTTGCATGTCTCTCCCTGCTTCAAGATACTGCTGAGTTGTGGCCTTGGGCTATTTAATGGAAGCTAAGAAATCTGAGGCCAGGCCTGCAGGGGAGGGAAGCAGGCAGTGAAAGGGACCATCTGAATAGCACTCGCGTGGCTTTGCTATTGTCTTGAAGGGAGACAAGCCCAGGAAATAGAATTTCTGGCTCCTAAAGAGATGGGCCCTTCAAGGAACAAAAGAATCTCACAAGGGTTTTTTGTGAATTTTGTTAAGAATGAACTCAGGGACTCTAGCCCTTGGGTCCCAGAGGATTAAGGAATCTGATGTGTTTCCATAAAGTAGAGGTTTCTGGGATGGCTTTGGGTGTGTATCAGGGTGAGGATTTTCGGTGTGTGTCCGGTTCCTGAGGAGTGGAAGGCTGCCCATGTTTGGCCAGCTGCATGGAGTCCTGGCAGGGAGGATGAGGGCAGGGGAGAGAAGGACAGATTGTGTAACCACCTTGTGGGGCAATGGCAAGACACGGTTACCCCTCCTCTGTCATTCACGGAAAGGAGACATCGCACAGACCGAGCTGCCGGAGACACGCTTCAATCTGTCTTCAAATCAAGCACCCTACCTGTGTCACAGCAGCACTGTCAATAAAAGGAGATGGGGGCTGGGAACAAGAGGAACAGATGCAAAGCCAGTTGCCCGATCAAGAGGAGGAAAGTGCAGCTGGACTGGCTTCTGAGCAGCAGGAATAAGAAAAGCAGTGGCAGATGACGCTGTTCACATCCTCTGGGCAGCTAGCTTACTGTGGCCCTGGCTCCCGAATGCTAACGGGCTGGCCTGTGTCTGAGGAGATGGCCTTTCAGGGGCACTCCGTCCCCAGTGCACTCAAGCCAGACTCAAGCCAAGAGGCAAGAGCCTCGGAGTGGGCTGCAAAGGAAGGAGCTTCAGCTTTTCAAACATGGCCTTGGAGAACTTGGCATGTGACGTCTGGAATAGAGGGAGCATGGGCCAGTCAAGTTTCAGCCGGACAGACAGAGCAAATGTTCATCCTGCCATGCAGACATCCGAGGGCAATCCCAGGACCCAAAAGCTGAGAACAGTCACCCAGGACTGGGCTGTGCAGGGACATATTTTCTAAACAGATTCCTGAGTTGGTTGGTTAAGGAAGAAGCAATAGTTTGTTGAATGGGAAGCAGAGGAGTGGAGGGTGGCCCAG